TTCCGGTTGGACTAGCCCACACAGTTACGGCGAGTCTGCATGAACAAATATTGCTTGGTGATCATTTAACCAAAACGATCTGCAAAACTGTTTAGCTAGCAACTGTTGCTATTCACTCTTTGAGTCAATAAAAAAATAACTGAAATTGTTGTTTGCAATTCAATTTGGTTCTCCATATAATTTACTTATAATTTTAATTCTTAATCATACTTTACTTTTTTAAAACTAATACTGTGACAAACTAAGAAGACTCAGAGACTATGGTGATAACTGCAAAGACTGACCATGAAAACATGGAGGTGAGAACACAGACAACACGACACTGAACACAGCAAGACTGAGGACTAAATACACACATGAGGTGATCGGGGAAGTGGAGACACATGAGGACACAGCTGACTAGAATGAAACATAATTACAGCACAGGGGAGAGTAAACCTAAATGCAGTGAACAAAGAACACCAGACTCTTTCAAAATAAAACAGGAAACCCAGAGACATGAAGATAAATCATGACATGAACTTAACAAAACCACACAGACATGAAACATGACAGGTAGACGCACGAATCAGGGAGACTGAGTACAGGGGGAGATGACAGAAACAACTAAGAAATAAAGGACTAAATAGCCACCTAGAAATTAACTAGATCAACACTGGGTCACACGACCCAGCCCATGACATAGAAAGCTATTTTAACTATTTAATCACATCTTTATCCATGTACTGTTATTTTCAGCAAACTGTTAGCTAGCTACTCGAATCAAACTTATTCATTTAGCTAATCTTCGGTGGCTGGGGTCTTTCTCTAGTAGGGAATCACTGGGCTAGACAACTCTACAGTGATCTCAAACGATGGAAAGTCCAGAAACTATGGAGGCAGAAACGATGGAGAGTCCATTTGAAATAACACGTTTGTGCAATAACAAGTTTGTGCCTAGAAACTTCTTGACATTTGTTACGTGTGCTCAGTGGGAACCTTCTCTCATCTGTGAAGTAAATGAGGTGCCAGCAGTGGACCTGCCAGTTTTAATGTTCTCTGGGAAAAGCAAATCACGCTGCACTGTGCTGAGCTTTGACCACAGGTCCCAAGGAAGGACCTTATGTCATCCTGATGGAGGCTGATTCTGACAGTTTGTTCTGAAACACAAAGGAACAGATGCAAGTCCTGTTTGCCGGGTTGAAGCTCATCCGTGGCCCTGGTTTATCTCCTCTACAGCATGTATAGATGTATCATTTTAGAGGAACTGGAGTACCAGTGCCATCTCAATGGGCTGCAGGTACCATCTCATGCTAGTATTTGTCTCATACATTAGTAGAAAGTAAAAATAGGAAGAAATTAGTCAGGATAAGGAGTGAGCAGGCTACCAACTGCAAAACCATTTCTTTTGATCTTGTCGTTTCCTCTCCAGTGGACAGACATGTTGGTACCTGTTTCTTTTGCACCTAAGGATGTCAAATTGATACACAATGACTAATGCTGCCTAACTGGACAGCTTGACATCCCCTGAAGTTTAACAGACTTGTTCCCTAATTTTATTTGTATTTTTGTTATTTATGCTTTGAGCCATTTATATGAAATATAGCTCATTTGGGTGAAGGTGCAGAAGAAAGTACACAATGTCAAAAAGAAAATAAAAAAAACACAACTCCCTGTTGTGCACTGTGTGGAGTGTACAGCTGTACCACAGCTTTTGAGGCTAAGTGCAGGTGACAGGAACCTAAAGCAGTCTCTCCCCCTTTTTTTCAGCCAGTAGTGTACATAGTTACTTATTCAGGTCACGTAAGAGGGATACAAGCCAGAAGCAGCAAAGAAAAAGACATGAAATGTCTGCTGACATATAACTACAGGAACTGTGTTTCTTAACAATTCTTCACCACTGAGGGAAAATTATATTTTTAAAACTTTTGCCCAGGTTGCATGTTGTGGCTTTGAGCGAACCTGTCTTGCCACATGCTGAGCCAGATAAGGGTCATAAGAAATTCCATATGTCAGCTTGGGCTGTTGTAAGCAGTGGGGCAGTAAATGTGTGGTGCCGGGAGTCTTAATTGGACAAAGCAGGATGCATACTGTAGCAGGCTGGATTTTCTTTACCTTTATAGTGTTGTATAGTTTTGTAGTCCTTTGAGTAGACAACTTCGTTTAGCAGAATTTAATGCTTAAAATTATAGTGCGCTGCAAAAGTGCACACTCTCAGTAGCATCAATATAATCTCTCATAGTCTCATAAATAATATTATACTGCTAAATATTCCATTAAGACCTTGCTTATTTGAAATATTTATGAACATTATACCATTCAAGAACAGCATTAGTAGCATTAGGGTTGTATTCAATGTTAAGCCCTAGATTGTCTTGATTTGCATGAACATTAATTCCAAATTAAAGAGTAAATTCACTGAGACATGCTTTGTCAATGGAGCTTATACACATAAAAACATGCTACGGTTATGGATGGCTGATGTTTGTAGTACATAATCAAGGTAAAATATCTGTTAAAAAACTCATATTTTCATATTTTAAAGTATGTATTGCTCAGTTTTTCTAGTCAGCGTTTAAACAGATCAGAGCAACCCATGCTACTGTCATAATACTGATGGTACTACTGTCATAATACTGATGGTACCGCAGCTTCCAGCTGGATTGACTATCAGGCAGCAGCCATGGACCAAAATCTGTGAGAAATCCTACGCTTAGTTCAGTCCGTGCCATAAAGAATTAAGACAGTTCTAAATGCATAAGACATGACAGGTTATAGATTTGTGAAAAACGTATCAAACTATCAAAGTGTGGGACCATGAATCATTTTTCACTCTATAAAATTCAACTTCTTTGTGCAATGTTAATAAAAAAAAATATTATTGCACCTCATGGTCTTTCTGTACTTTGAAAGACTTTCAGGTTTTCTGCACTTAGTCACCTGTTAATATGTTGCTCACAAACTAGGTTAAATTAAGTAATTTGTATTAATATGGTGTTAGTCATAATCTCCCATTATCACATGATTTTTTTTAATAGACTCTTCAGAAATTACCCAACGCTTAAGGGATTTGGGAACGGAACAACATAAAAAAATGAATCTTGTTTGTTCGCTTTGACGGTTTCAGTGGGGACTCTTTGGCAACATAGCAGATGTTTCTCATTACAACAGCCCCCACTACAGAGTCCCAGACGTGTCAAATCAACTACACAATTCAGTTACACTGTGTTCTTTTGGGATGTTTCACTTCAACACAAAACTCATAAATCAAGTATATAGTAGATGGGACGAGTGAGAATGATATGAAATGTTACACCGAAGTATTAAATTGAATAGATTTGCTTGAATGGCTGTAGAATGATGCAGGCGACAGTTTAGCAAACTGAACAGGACTTTTTTTGGGCATTGCACTGCAGTTTGATGCAGGTCTTTAGCTTGGGTATCGTTTGCTAATCATACAGTCAAATTAAGGAAACCGGTGGTTAGAGATTGTGGCACAACCATAATTATTGTTACTGTTGCCTTCGAGAGACGGGGACTAGTCTGCAACCACTTGCAGTCAGTTGCTATCTTCGAAGCAACTTCAGTGCATAAAGTCAGTCTGCTTAGTTTGTCATATCTGTTGCCATCTCACAGAAATTCACTGTTTACATTCAGAGTCCAGCCAGAACCTCAACGATTTTAAATAGAAGTTCAGAAATTCCTCCACAAATTCTGACGCAGTTGCTGCAGCACAGCAATTTAACTATTGCATAGATATTGCATTGTATACTAATATAGTATATTGTGTATGTGTAGTATGTAGATACACACAAGATAGCGACATTGTCTAATTCAGTGAAATAATAAAAAAAGAGACATTGTACGTAAATATATGTGTATATACGTTCTTCACATCCAGAGAATAAAACAAAACCATTTACATTCAAACAGCAGTGTGAAGTCAATGTGTCAAGACTACCAAAGTTAGATACAGTACAGTATAAACAAAACCTACAGACATAGTCCTCAATACTTTTGTCATACTTTACAACATTTTACCAAGTGTCATCGGGGACATCACAAATCCTTTGGAGAGTCATATGAAAACATTTCACACATAAATACACAACTTAAATGATACACAAGATTTACTACATTTACCAAAAGCCTATGGCGTTTCCACAAATCTGAAATTAATTTCATCAATGATTATGAGGCATTACTACACAATAAATGACTATTTATGGATACTTTATAGCTTTCCCATTGTACATGAATCACGTGCTGCAAAGCAGTACAGCGTCAACCATACATGCAGATTGTATTGTTTATGTTTAAATGAAGAAACTGTCCTGCAGATCTGATATGATAAAACTACAAACTGGATGTCGGATATTAAAGCCTGATCTCACATAGAATCAATACAGAATGAATACTGAGAACATATGACACAAACTGATTGGTTTTGCCTCAAACATTAACCACTTACTAATAATGTTTCTTAAAAATATGCCAATTCATAGTTTAGTGTAGAAATAAGTGCTTTAAGTCACAGCTGTATTAAAGACTGACAATGGAAACATACAACAGTTATCATACATAAATGAATAGCCAGCAATGTAAATGTATTGACCTTTTCATTGGTGGTTATTTCAGATATCCATAAAATGTTTCACAAATGAATCTTATGAAAGAGTTACTACCATTCAATAAAACACAGACAGTGGTTGAATGCTTTCATGAGCATACTGTACTCATTTATACTGTATATATAAATCATGCATACGCACACTCATACTTTGCACACCTCTTTGCAGAAATGTTAGATTTACAAAATATTTACATTGACTGATAGTGACGTGTGTTCCCAGCATTATGGAAAATGTGTTAAAATGATTTACAGTGAAGAGAAAAAAAAAAAAGACAAATAAAAAAAAGAAACAAAAGTTCAAAGAAGGTTCTGTGATGTGAATGAGCACTAAGAACACACATTTAAAAATGAAGTAAA